ATCCTAACCTCTCGTTTTTTTTATTCACGTGGTTCGTATTTCAGAACCCGCAATCGAGTGAGACACTTTCTTTATTTCCCTCGATTTTTTTCCTTGAGTGGTGGGTGGGGGAGACAGAAGAGACGATAGGAATGTCTTCGGAAAGCGATTGAATTTTTTTTTCCCTCTGCATCCCTTTATTTTCCACTTCCTTCATCATTTTTTTCCTCCACAACCACTCCTTCAGAGGAGAATGGAGACCGGCACAGAAAGGAGAGATATGTAGAACAAAGAGGTACATCACTTTGATAATGTCGTTTGAGATGGATTTTCTTCTGAAATATCAGTGATCCTTCACAAAGCGGGCTCTTTTCGGTTATTTCTTTTTCATTTGTCTGTAGATCCAACGGCTTTATTGTTTTCATTACAGTGAATCGTTTTCAGTGTGCGGATTTGCGTCGCGATTCGAGTGAATTTTGATGAGTTTCATTGTCAAATCAGTTCTAAAGGAAATTTTGTGCTTCCGAATGGAGGCTTTGCAGTCGTTCAAATTTAAGTTTTGGATTTTTCGTGTTATATCGACCTTGTGTGATCTAAAAAGTCCGAAAATGCAATTTTTAAACCTCGTCTGTACGTGTGCGTATGCGTGCACGTATGTAACAACGTTTTTCTTCAATTGTTCGCTAATGAATGGATGGAATTGAATACTTTTCTTTTCAAATGTAGGTATTATTGAGCCCTATCGATCGTCATTAGTTAAATTTCAATCCATCGATTGATTTTTTTTTTATTTTCGAATTTTTTCAAAAATTGGTTGTCACACGATAACTAAAGAAAAAGTTCTGAATTGATTAAATGATGGTTTAAAAAATTTGTTTGAATGTCCTTTTGACCGAGTTTGAAGATTAAGACAATTAAGAGGCAATAATCGTTATTTTGATTTTATTTGAAAATTTGCAAAAATTTTGTATTTTTTAAAAATCAGAATTCCGGGGATATCTTTGAGTATCATGCTTCAAAAGAATTCAATCATAGCTTAAAATGTTTGTTTTAATGCCACTACGTCGAAGGGAAAAGATGCTTACGATAGCTATATTGGTTGATTTGATTTTTATGATGATTGTTGAAAATTTCGAATTTTTCATTAATTTCCCTGAAAGTGAGCTTTCTGATGGTTTCTTCAAATGTGATGTTTCAAATTCATTCCAGTATATATAAATAAAAATTTTCTATCAACATTTTATCGAAGGGCTGAGGGGAGAGATAGAACCAGTGATGCCGCGAGACAAGACGAGACAAGAAACTGCATCTTCTCAGCTAAATAACTATACTATAGTATCTTGCAAAAATAACTATACTATATGCAATACAAGAGCAATTTCCCACTTGTTTTTTATTTTATCCAAATTTTTGACTTTCGATAAAAAATGTTTATTGAACACTCTCAATCATGATGATGAATCACCCTATTCCTATTGAAACGTACAGTATCAATGTTATCCCTATGAATCGATACTATTTTGCTCAGCCTTGACTCTTCTGCTCCGCCTCGGTACTTCCGCCGGCAGGACCTTGCGTCGTTCCTTCGGTAATTTGCTCCTCGCCTAAGTGATGAATGAATAAAATTCCTCGTGATCGGCTCTTTCAATTCCCTATTCTCAGAAAAACTAGAGCATACCTGGCTTTGTACATAAAACATGGAGAAGTTATTGACGATGACGGGCACGGGCAGGGCTATGGTTAGGACACCAGCGAGTGCACAGAGGGCACCGATGAGCATTCCGGGAAATGTTTTAGTCCGGGAAATGTTTTAATTAGTCTTTTATTATCACTCAGAACAATGAAGACTCCTCACAAAAATGATTCAATCACCAGTGACCACTCACCTGCAGCCTCTCGGCATAATATATAAGACTAGCGAAAACCATAATACCAAGTACAAGGAAGAAGACAAGTAATTCCAACTCTTTGGCGGATGCCTTGAACGTATGTATGAGTATTCTCAATCCAGGTGAGTGTCTGGTCAGTTTGAAGAGCCTGAGCACTCTAACTATTGAGAGTATCTCAAGATACAGGCTTGTCTCAGTTAGAAACTGTTCCACGTAGAAACTGACTGTTGCTGCCATATCGATCATGTTTACCGGGGATGCGGCAAAACGCCTCAAGCTAGGACTGACCTGCAAAGTTTTCCATCAGCACCGGGGAAATTCACAAAAGCATCACGACTTCAACTTCAACTGTTCATCAGCTGTTTAACTGTTGTTCTGTAACTTCTTTCTAGGATGGGGAATTACGAGTGTTGGTGGTAGTGGTGGAGAGTGGATGATGGGTTTGGAGTGTATGATGGGTCATGGAGCATCTTGGCAAATATCCAGTTTGCTTTTTTTCCCGAGTGTGAAAAAAGACCAAATAATGAATGTTGAAAATAAAAGTGTTGAGTGATCTATTTATCACGTCATGTGAAAAGCAGTGTTTCATCCGGACCATTTCAAAGCTCCACTGGGTGCAGAATAAATTCAATTCCAGATGGCGTCAGAGAATGTTTTTTTTTCCATTCTAATGAATCACAGTGTTTTCACCAGATTCACTCGATTTCAATGATCAACACTTTGTGCCTTTGATGTGCGAGTTAATGCATTGAAAATATATATTCAGTTGAAAAAACAAGATGAATAAAAAACTCACCGCACAGAGGAGCATGATTTCCAGAGCGAACCACGCATTGCAGGCATGCTCTACATAATAAAGTATTTGAGTTGTTGAATTCAACTCGGTTTGCGTTATGACCTTGCCCTCTAGTTGCATCTGGTTTGTCTTGAGGCAAAAGGACAAGACAAAGAGGCAGATAAAGAGAATGGACATGCAGGCCATGCATCTGCCAATAATTGATGAGCATGGCTCCACAAAGATCTTCCAGATTTTCGGCCGAATTTTCTGCCACTTTGTCAATGTTGAGAGGTGTTCGTAATTGAAGAGACGAGCTATCTCTCAGTCGTTTAATTTTTCACAGTCGTCGAGATTATCTAGAATAGCTAGGGTTGCTTTTGTGTCCCGATGGGTGCTGTAGGTACTCCAACAGCATGGCTCTACCTGTGAATTATTGATTGGGTTTTAGGGGCTTGATGCAAATGTTGGAAGTCAGAGGGATTCGACGTTCAATGATTAATTCGACACTCAATTCAGGGGGGCAATTGGGCGAGTAATTATCTGACTTGTGATCAGCGATTGAAAAGTTTCTACGGAGATTCTGGAATTACCTTGGGTAACTGTGTATGTTTAATTGTGGGTCATGACAAAGAAAATTCGGAGAAAAAACTGGCGAATTCGAATGAAAATGTCTAATAGATATTATTTTATAGAAAAAATCAGGAAAATTTCATACGATTTTATACTGTTCAATTTTATCTATTGAGACATTTTCTATTGGAATTCCTCGACATGAATTTTCTAAGTTTTTTTTTTCACTTTATTTTTTCTCTCTTTTCATAAAAGAAATGAAACAGAAAATCTTCGAAAACGCGACCCAAAGAATGTCTATAGAATGAATAGTTTAAGTATTGAGGAATTTCCGGAGGGGACGCCACGAGCGTTGAACGAGAGAGGTGTCCCCCAAGCAAAGTCCCGAAAAAATTACGAGTAATGGGGAGAAAACTGCGTAAATAATGGGAAAAGACGATAAATTGAACGTCCAAAGTTCAACAGAAGTGGAAAAATATAAAATTCGGGAGGAACAGTATAAAAAAAAATAAGAGGTGAAAGGACAGATCCGATCAATTAGCCCCTCATGTATAGATATTCCAAATTTTTATTTTTTTCCTCATTGAAGTGGTTTTGAAGAAAATTGCGAGCTAATAAAAAACATATGGCTAGTTAGTACTTTTTTTTAAATAAATTTTTGAAAATTCACCCCTGGAAAAAAAGGCGTTATCCCCCCTATTTCATTATTTCCAAAAAATTTTATCATCAATCGGTAGCAAATTGTTTGAAGATTTTTGCGAGTTAAGAAAAAATCGTCTATGCACTCCTATTATTGTGTAAATTAACAATTCCAATTTCAACTGAAAACCAGAGTTGATGACCAGAGTTTGTAGCAGAGATGTCAGACAAGATATAAATGTTTTTTTTGGCTCAAATGAAAGAGCGGCTCGAAAAATGGCGTGCAGAAGTCTTTAAAGATGACAAATGTCTCTAAAGATGATGTCTGTTTTCAATTGAAAAGCGCAATTGTGACAACATTGTCCAGTGGGGTCTAGGAGTCTCCCCTGGTTCAAAACCATCTTTAGAGGCCCTAGCACGCCATTTCTCGACCCGCTCTTTCATTTGAGCCCAAAAAAACATTCATATCTTGTCTGACATCGCTGCTACAAACTCAGATGTGAAAAAGACAAGAACTGAAATGCAATACGATGGGAAATATATGATATAAAGGTGTAAAATAGGAAATTAGTTTTAAGCGGTGAGAATATAAAAGATCTCAAGCTATACAGTTTATGAAATAAAAGCCTAACCTAAGCCAGTTGAGGAATTTTCATTAAAACCAATCCCATAACCAACCCTCTCCCCCAAAGCAAAGTCTAACGCGATAGATACCATTTCAACTTGAACCACTAGACATCCGCCGATATCGAACCCCACGTGTCACCACCGATTGTCGAGTTGACTGCCCCTCCCACCCAGTAAACTTGCTCGTGCGGGCAACACAACGTCATATCCGATAAACCCCCTCCCCCACCCCGATGGAAAACATCACGCAAAGAAAAACGTCAGATACTAAAACTGCAATTTACCTCGAAAATAAAGCTGATCATGAGTGAAATATCAGATCATAATCAGTTTGATGGTCTCCCCGGGGTTTTTAAAATGTTTACGTTATCGTTAAGATTTCTGACAACTTGTGGGTATGAAATCCCATTAAGGTATTTCTAATTTGATTCTGGGGCAGCGGTGGGGAAACGTTCGCACTATCAGCGGCCCCCCATTGTTTAATGGCCTCAGGGGTTATTGGATTGAACGTCGTCATAACTTCACACTCCTGCGGTTTGGGGAGTATTGTAGAAAGTTTTGGATCTGAATTTCTCAGTCGGCCTGGGTTCATTGGGGTGATGCTCTGGTTTTCCCTTTTTTTTCAATTGAAAATTAAAATTCAGTATTATTTTAAATTATTATGAATAAATAAAGTAGCGATGAGAGTCAGAATATTTTGTAGCGCTCACAAGCGTCAACAGCATTATATGGAGATCTTGTGAGATTTCATCAGGATAAACGACCTAGGGGGGCTCGGCCCCCCAGCAGGAAAAATATCTGAATTTGGTTTTCAAGAATTGGAATTTGTAGGGCACACAGTGATGGGTGCTAACTTCCTCTGGGGCTACTCATCGGTAGCCCTGAGAGGATTGAGTAATGAAAATAATTGAAAATTCAAAAATCTGTATTGTTTTAAATTATAAATAAATAAAATAGTGATGAAAGTCAGAATATTTTTGTGGGGCTCACAAGCGTCAACAGCATTATATGGAGATCTTGCGAGATTTCATCAGAATAAACAAAACCTAGGGGGGCTTGGCCCCCCAGCAGGAGAAATATCTGAATTTTGTTTTTAATAATTGGAATTTGTATGGCACAGAGTGATGGATACTAACTTCCTCTGAAACTACTCATCGGTAGCCTTGAGAGGATTGAGCAATGAAAATAATTTAAAATTCAAAAATCTGTATTGTTTTAAATTATAAATAAATAAAATAGTGATGAAAGTCAGAATATTTTTGTGGGGCTCACAAGCGTCTACAGCATTATATGGAGATCTTGTACGATTTCATCAGAATAAACAAAACCTAGGGGGGCTTGGCCCCCCAGCAGGAAAAATATCTAAATTTTGTTTTTAATAATTGGAATTTGTATGGCACAGAGTGATGGATACTAACATCCTCTGAGGCTACTCATCGGTAGCCTTGAGAGGATTGAGCAATGAAAATAATTGAAAATTAAAAAATCTATATTATTTTAAATTATAAATAAATGAAACAGTGATGAGAGTCAGAATATTTTGTGGCGATCACAAGCGTCAACAGGATAAACAAAACCTAGTAGGGCTCGGCCCCCCAGCAGGAAAAATATTTGAATTTTGTTTTCAGGGATTGGAATTTGTATGGGACACAATGATGGGTAATAACTTCCTCCGAGGCTATTCATCGGTATTCCTGAGAGGAGTGAACAATGAAAATCATGATCACGTAAAATTACCCATAAAAGGTTTATCTAGAGACCACATACGGTCCATACTCTCACAATCAAATATCGATGATGGAACAGCGAATGGCAGAACTCCAATCGTAAATTTCATTCATAAGTGGCCAATGTAGAATTGTCGATTGCGTGCGGTCCAGTGACTGAACAGAATGATCACAAAAAAGAATGAGCTGTGGAGAATGCTCTCACGAGGATTACTGGTGTGGTGAATAATGGTTGAGCGAGAGTATAAAAATTATGGAACAAGTTGCGGCCTCATTTTCAAAACCTGTCTCTCATGATTTATCGCGAAAAGTTGAAGTAATCCTTTGCGGAAAGTTTGGAGTCTTCAATTTCATTGGTGTTGCTGAGGCATCAGGAAGTTTTTGACTTGAATTATTTTGTCGACAGTAATTAATGGGCTCACGACATAATTTCAAAAGAATAATGAGGATAAAACATTGGGATGAGAGAGTGCAGAGATCAATTGCATGGAAAAATTCCCTTCCATTTCCGAAGGCATTAATATCATCACACGTTATTGACTAATTCGAGACCCTTCGGCATTTTTGGAATAATAGCAGCAATAAAAAAGTATAAAATTTGCTCTATATTACCACGAAGTAATACACGAACTCCGAAGCAATTATCAAACAAACCTGGTTTGAGTCAAGCCCCCAAAACTCAAGCTCCTCCTCGAACAGCGGTCCGCAAACATCACTCGGATAATGAAGCTTCCCCGTCCGATAGTAATTAAGGACTTGGGCAAAAACACCTGGATGCCGATCGAAGAAGTATTCATTCAAAACTTGATCCTAATTAATGAGGGTCTTTGTAAGTCTCGATAAACGTGTAGCTGGAATTTTACGGAGGGTTGATCTGTATGTCTCATGACGTACACCACCGACATTCAGAATTATCCGATGGTCCATTATTTTCAGGGGAGAACAGTGATATTTGACGGCACAATTATTATTCTCTTCACATTTTTTCGGGAATAATTTTGTTTCTGTTTCAATGATCACATTAAAATTAGGACCAACTCGACTGCGTATTGGACACTCACTCACGAGATAATCTTGGCTCGAGGTAAAAGGTGAGGGAGAGGGAAATACTGTGTACATGATGAGCAGTTATTCCAGGCACGAGATTCATAATTTCAAAGCATGTGTTTATTCACGTGGAGTTCGGTGGTTAATCACGTTGTTCAATCAATTATCATCGTTTATAGTTTTCGGTTGAAATTGCGATGATAGGGTTTGTGGATTCAGTTGGATGGGACGAGTGGATTTAATTCATCAAATTCATTCTTCTTTTAAATTTTGATCCCGACGGTCAATTGCTCCGAAATTTATTATACCATAATTCTAGAATTGTGATTGAATTATTCAGCCGTAGGGATCCTCGATCACGCGCTCAATGAGTGCGGCGCCGCCTGTTTTCGTTTTTTATATTTTAGCGTGTTTTTTGACGCTCAAAAATTCTGAAAAAATTAGAGTTCCTAGTTCAATCCTTTTATTAAGCGTTGGCGCTGTCCGGTTTTTTTTTTGGAAAATTTGTTTAGCTAAAAAAAAGAAACGTCGAACAGACAGAAAAGCAGCGCAGTGCCGCGCCGCCCGGTGCGAGTGAGTCCCAGTTGACCGCTCAAGCCACAGTGTTGCTACATTCACTGCCACACTTGAAATGCGCGCGTAGCGCTAAGTGTCAACGTGGCAACAGCACGTTCGATTTAACCCAGCGGCGCTACGCTAAGCGTGCGACGGATGAAGGCTGGTGGCCGAGCGCGAGTGATCGAGAGTTAAGGTACTTATGGCGCGGTCAGGGGGGGGGGGGGGAAAAA